TGTAATGCAATAAGGTTGTAAATTTTTTTTTTCTCTATAAGAAAACCCGACAGAAAAAAATTTTTTGTTTTTCCTTACACATGTTGAATTCAAACGGAAAAAGAAAAAAAAAAAAAAAAAAACTTTTTACCTAATAAAATGTTTTTTATTGACCGATACGACGACGTATAAATAAATATAAAGAGAAAAAAAAAAACAACATCACTACAATGTTGAGTGAAATATGTGTTTCACTACTACCAACTACAAAAAAAAAAAAAAGGAAACTTATTGAAAAACGTAAACTAAATTTGAAAAAAGTAATTTTATTGATAAAAAAAAAAAAGGCAAAAAAAAAATTGTTTTCAATTTTTTTTTTTCCTACAGTAAAAATTCCAAAAAGGAACAAAAAAAAAAACCCTTTTCTACTGATTTTTTGATTTTCTGACACTTGTCAAAAACTGTATCTTTTTAAAAAAAAAAATTTTCCGGGTCGTTTCTTTCCGGTTTTCCCATCCCCTCCCTTCCCATTTTCCTCTTATTTTTCTTTTTCGAAAAAAAAAAAAAAAACATTCATGCCTTAATTTTTTTTTTATAGGAAAAATTAATTAAACAAAATAAAATATTATTATTATTAATAAATGAGGGGTGGAAAGGGGGGTAAAAGGGGGGGGGAAAGGGTGATGATAAAGAATGTGAGGAAAATGATGAAAAGGTTAAAAAGAAAAACGGACAACAACCGTTCGTTCGTTCGTTCGTTCTTTGAAATTAATTAAAAGTGTATTTAAAACTTTCTAGAAAGATCGTTAAATTCCGACCGCAATTAAACCAAACTAAGAATTTTTTTTTTTTGGTAACAAATGAGAAAAAGAAACGAGACGACAGCGACGACAGCGACGCAAGATTCGGATGCTGTTCCTGCTCCTGCTGCTGTTGTAAAATTAAATTCCATTAATCTCAACCGATTTTTTTTTTTTTTTTTTAAATTAAAACCGCCGAAAGAGTAAAAAATGTTTTTTTTTTTAAACGATTGATACAATTTAATTTTAATTTTAATCTTATTTTGTGTTACGCCACTATTATAATAAATAAAAATGGCGTCGGATTTTTTTTTTTTTTAAATTTAAATTATGTCTAACGTTCGCTTTCTCTCTTTTCCTCTTTAAAAATCTTTTTTTTATGCAAACTGCTTATTTATGCAAAGGAAAAAAATTTATTTCGATATTTTTCCCCTCTGCCCCTCCTCTCTCTCTCTCTCCCCTGTTTTCTTTTCATTTTCAAATATTATTTAAAAAGGTTTAATATTATTATTATTATTATCATAACTACTTATCGCGATAATATAAAAAAAAACAAGACGAATCGATGAGTTTTTAAATATTTAATAATCGTTTAATTATTTTTAACCGATTTAAACGTTTTATTACTCTATGGAAAAGAAAATGGCGTCCGTTTCCGGTTCCGAATTCGTTTAAAAAAAAAAAAAAATTTTTTTTAATCATCGAACGTGACGTTAAGGTAGTAAAAAAAAAATAGGGGAGGGAAATGTACGTCACGCCCTTTTTCCTTCCCCCTTTTTCGCCTCACCCACCCTCTCATCCTCACCCCTATTGAAATTAACTATTAATTTTTTTTTTATTTGTTTTCAGATCGACCTAAAAATCCTTATTTGGTAATTGATGGAAGACGTTTGGATCCCGGAAACATATTCATACCGGTTAAAGAAAACACGGAATTAAGCGTCGCATGCGTCGTTGAGGGTGGTAATCCGCCCCCTACGATTAAATGGTCGCTGCTTTTATCATCGAACGTGGAAAATTCCATGATGGGAGAAGAAACGAACGTTCCGGTAGATCTAACCAACGTAACTGAAAACGTGCCAAACGAAAAATCTGGCACGACAAAAAAAATATTTTCACATTCTCACACCAGGAGCGAAGTCCGGTTAGAAAATGTCATGAGAGGACATCATAATGCTACGGTTATGTGTTTTGCACATCACGTCACGTTGCCTTCTGCCTTAAATGCGTCACTGCTTTTGGACGTTCAATGTAAGTTTTTTTTATAATTAAATTATTTGAATAATTTATTTTTTTAATTAGATGACATTTTTTGTTTTATAAAAATAACACGGCAGTAATAAATTTTATTAATAAAATAATCATTTCCGGTTTGAAAAAAAATATATCAAATTAAATTCTGTTAAAACAAAGGTCATTAATTAAAAACTTAAATATTACTTTTCTTACGGTTGTTATCCGCTTGTGAAATAATAATAATAATTTTAAGTAATAAAATAAACGAATCCCCCCCCCTGATCCCCCCGATCCCCCATCCCTGCCCTCACCTCCCCTTTAAACAAAAAAATAAAATAAAATCACGTTAAAATACAAAAATATTTTTTTCTTTTATTCGTCGTCGTCGTCGTTTCGTAATATCGACAAATTTCCAATTTTTTTTTTTTTAATACGAAATGTAATAAATATCTTATCCGTGAGCGAGGGATTCCATCATGGATCCCGACGGGGATCCCATCGGGGATCTCTCGTTGCTCGAGTGACATCACCCCTTATTTTTTTATTTTTTTACTTTTCCACCTTTTTTTTCCTCTTTTATTTTAGCTTTTTATCATTTACCCTCTTTCCCCCTCAACTCACTCCTCATCCTCCCTCATCCCCCATTTGTTTGTGAAATATTATTATTATTATTATTTTCGAAATCAATTTAAAAATCAAAATTTTTTTTCTTTTTTTTTCCATTCAATTTAAAACGTTTATATAAAAAAAAAAAGAAAAACTTTATTACGTCATCCGTTTTTATTTATTTATTTATTTTCACGTATTTTTTTTTTTTTTTTGAAATCTTTGAACGGTAGCAAATGCATTTACGTTTTTCATTTTTGCTTCAGTTAATCTCAAACGAAAAATTTCTGTTTTTTTTTTTTTTTTTAATTATAAACGAATAAATTTTACGTTACGTTTACATAAAACTTTTTTTTTTACGTCAAAAAAAAAATTATATTAAAAACTTTTTTTTTTTTTCTAATTACCCGAAAAAAATAAAAATAAATAAATAAAATAAATTGGAGTCGAGTAAATAAATAAATAAATAAATTTTTTTTTTTGTTATTTATTAATAAGCCATTGAAGTCGTAACTAAGAAAAAAGATCGTAAATTTTATTAAAAAAAAAAAACTTTTTTTTTTCTCCAGTTTTTTTTTTTTATTATCCAGTCAGCCAACTCGTCCGTCCGTTCGTTCCCCTCCCCCCACTTTCCCGCCCTTCCATCCACCCCCGACATTTTTTTCTCTTTCTTACAAAAAAATTTTCTTTTTTTTTTTTTTTTTTTTTCTTATTTTTTGTTATTAAACCTCGTGTTATAATAAGTGATGACGTAAATGGAAGTCTTTCGTGGTCCCGAGGGACGTTTCCTTTTACGAAAAAAAAAAAAAAAGTGAAAAAAACAAAGAAGACGACAAAAAACAAATAATAATAATAATGATGATGATAATAATAATAATAATATTTTAAAAAATTATTACCGTGAAAAATAATAACAAGAAAAAAAAATAAAAATTTTTCTTCTTCTTCTTTTTCTTCGCTTTATATATAAATTTATCATCATTATTATTATTATTATCATCATCATCTGAAAACTCGTAAATGTGAGAAAAAAATAAAAAAAAAAATTTCGATGCTTGTTACCAACATTAAAAAAAAAAAAAATTCTAAGGTTCGATTTCGCTTGAGAAAATTTAAAAAAAAAAAAAAAAAACAAAAAAAAAAACAAAAAACGTAATCATTATTATTATTATTATTTATCACGTGATATAACGAACAACAATAAGTTAAGACAGGCAAAAAAAAGAAAATAATTTACGTTTTCTTCGCGTAGGAAAATTAAGGAAAATAATAATAATAATAATAATAATTTTTTTTTTTAATTGTAAACCTTTTGGAATAAATAAAAAAATTTTATTATTATTATTATTTATTATTAACGTTATTAAAAATAATAATAATGATAATAATAATAAAAAACAAACGATTGCTGAAAATCAATACGAGAAAAAATAAATAAATAATAATAATAATGATAATAAATTTTTTTTAATAAAAAAAAAAAAAAACGATGATGATGGAATAAAATATATAATTTTTTTTTACCTTTTTGTTTTTTTTTTTAAAGGAAAAAAGGTAAAAAAAGGAAAGAAAGAAGGATGAAAAGAATAAAAAGAAACAACCTGATAAATAAATAAATAATAATAATAATGATAATAATGATAATAATAATAATGATACGAAAAGAAAAAGGAAGAAAAAAAAATTTTTTTATTATTTCTTTTTTGCAATTATTTCTCTGTCGTTTGTTTCGTTACCTTTGTTATTATCCTCTCTCTCACTCTCTATCTCTCTCTGTCTATTCTAAAAATTTTCATATTATTATTATTATTATTATTATTATTATTATTTTAATAAAATTTAATTTAAAAAATTTCAACCGGTTATGTTTTTATCAAAGTAAACGGAAGTTAAAGAGAAAATTAATAAATTTTTTTTTTTTTTAAACATAAGAAAAACTTTTTTAAAAACAAACAAAACAAACAAACGAACAAACAAACAGACAGACAAACACTCAAACGAATAAATAAATAAATAAATAAATAATAAAAAGTTAAAGAAAAAAAATTTTAGGAATTTATTTTTGACCGAAAAAAAAAAAAAATTTTTTTTAATAAAATTACAAAAATTTTAACTTTAAGAAACCGCAAACAACAAAAAAAAAAAAGTTTTATAGCAGAAGACAAAAACCATAAAAAGTCAAAAAAAAGTAAAATCCATAATTTGAATGTCACTTCTTTTTCCATAAAAAAAAAAACTTTTTTCTTTTTTCTGTTTCTAATCATTTTTAAAAGTCGAAGTAATAAAAAAAAAAAACGTTGAGCTATGAATTTCTAAAACCACGTATAATTTTTGTTATCCCCCTCCCCCATCCTTTTTTTTATTACTATTATTATTATTATTATTATTATTATTATTATTATTATTATTATTATTATTATTTTATTTCGATAATCGAATTCAATTTTTTTAACTTTTCTTCTGACACGTTTTTTCCTCCTTCTCTCTCTCCTTCCCTTTCTCCTCTTCCCGCCCCCCACAATATTAAAATAACAATGAACAAACGACTTTATCATTTCATTACCATCTTTTAATTAAAATAATATCAGGTGATTGTTAAAAATTTTTGCCAGATAAAATTCGTTCGTTCGTTCGTTCATTCAAATCACGTTTATTACATTGAAATTGCATTGTTGCCAACATTTTAAATGGAGTAGAGATAAAGAAAGAGAAAGAGATAGAAATAGAGATAGAAAAAAGAGAAAAAAAAATTTAATTTTATGTTTTTGTTAATTACAAATATACTTTTTTTTAATTTTTTTTTTTTTTTAAACACACAAAAGTGGCAGAAGACAATTTTAACTTTTATAAAATTTTTAAAAAAAAACCGTTAATTTAACAATTGGTAAACGGGAGTCCGCCATTAAAAAAAAAAAAAAAAAAAAAAAAAAAATTTTTTTTTTTTAACGCGTCCTCTATCTCGTTTTAGCTTAATACGATGTGTTCCTTTGTTTCCATTGTTTTCCATTGTTTTATATTTTCTGTTTTGTCAGTTTCCTCTTCTCATCTCTTTTCTTTTTTACTCGCAATGATGATAATAATAATAATTATTATTATTATCGCTTCTTCTTGTTTTTTTTGTCGAATCGTTATTTTACTTTTCTTTTTCTTTTTCTTCTTCTTCTTCTTCTTTATCTTTTACCTTATTATTAAAAAAAAAAATGTGGGCTTTTTTTGTTTGTTTGTGCGATTTATCATTATTATCATTATTATTATTATTATTTGTTTGTTTGTTTTTTTTTCTAGATAGTCCATCATTTGCTATAAGTCGCGAACCTGGATTCGGTTTTCCAATACGGGAAGGAATTCAAGTGTCACTTAAATGTGACGTTGATTCAAATCCTCCATCGAGTCCTATTTGGCAAAAAGGTAATAACAAACAAACAACAAACTTACAAACAAACGTTTTATATAATTTATCTAATACTTTTGCTTTCGCGTAAGATAATTTTAAAGATTTCTTTTTTTTTCTTTCTTTTCTTTTCTTTTTATCGTTTTAAAACAAATAAAAAATTTTTTTCTTCGCGCGCTTATAAAAAAAAAAAAAAAAAAAACAAAAAACGAGATAAACCAATTGGATGAATAAACACAAAAAAACACAAACACAAATTTATATAAAAATTTTAAAACGGAAATGAAAGATTTGAAGAGTTAAAAAAAAAAGTTTTAAAAAAAAAAAAATTGAAAAGCAAAGTTTTTTTTTTAAAAAACATTTTACAAAAAAAGTGTAATTATCGAAAAACAAAAAAAATGTTTAAAACAAGAAAACAAAAACATAAACAAAACATAAACAAAAAGAGTTAGACGAAGAAAAAAGTGAAAGACTAATGAACGGAAAAAGAAAAAAAAAAGAGAGAGAGAGAGAGAAAGAGAAATAGTGATGGAAACAAACGAAAATAAGAAATGAATTAAAAATTATTATTATTATTATTATTATCATCATTATTTAAATAAAACATAAATAATGATTAACATAAACAAAACATAAATTAAAACAAAAAACATTTTTTTTTTTAAATTTTCTTTTAACAATTTTTTTTTCAATTTTAATAAGAAAAAAAAATAATTTTTTTACATTTTCGATTATTATTATCATCATCATCATCATCATTATCATCATCATCATTATTATTATTGTTATAAATCCATTTTTACTAAAAAAAAAAAAAAAATGTATGGTAAAACGTAGTAAGCCTTTCAAAACCTTTTTTTACAACAAAAAAAAAAAAAAAGAAAAAATTTTTTGAGATGAGTTGAATAAGAAGAAGAAGAAAGTGAAGAAGGAGGAGAGGAGGAGAAGGAAGAAGGAGAGTAAGAGGTGAAGAAGAAGAAAAAAAATGGAATGGTAAAAAGGTTGAAAGAATTTTGGTAGAAAGTTGAAAGAAAAAAGTGGAGGAGAAGAAAGACGGGGAGGGGGAAAAAGGAAAAACTAATGGCTTTAAAAGCTCCAATTTGATTTGATTTTATTTTTATTTTTTGGAAGGGGGAAGGGGAAGGTAGGGAGGGAGGGAGGGAAGGGGAAAAAGAAAAGCGTGGAGGGGGAAGGTATTTTTTTTTTTATTTTTATGATTTTATTTGTTTTTATACGAATTTTTCTCTTTTTTTTTGAAATATTGAATGAAAACACTTAAAAAAACCTTTTGACGGTTTTTAAGGTTCGTTAAGGGTTTTTGGGGGAGGAGGTGGGAGTGGAAATGAAGGGAGAGAGAGAGAGAGAGGGAGGAAGAGGTAAAAGGTGTCAAAACAAACGTTTTCTTATTTATATTTGTTAACTACATTTTCCAACGACGTTACAGTCGTTTTCCAGCTCCCCCCCTTCCACTCTCCCCTCTTCCTCCTCTTCCCTCCCCCCGGAAAACATTTTTTCACCTTTTAGAAAACCTTTTTACTTTTTTTTTTATTTTTAATTTTGTTTTCATTTCAATTTTATTTACTTAAAGCGACTTTTTACCTTTTTTTTTAAAAAAAAAAATACTTTCAACACTTTATAACCTTTTTTCCTTTTTTTCCTTTCCTTTTACTTTTCCGAAAATGATTATCAAAAGGTAAAAAAAAATCGATTTAAATTTTTTTTTAAAAATAAATAAATAAATAAAAAATTTAGTTTTAATAACTATTTCTAGTTTAATAAAAAAAAATGGCGGAGAGTAAAAAAAAAAAAAAAACTTCACTTACTTTTCCAACCTTTTTATTCTATTTTTCCTTTCCTTTCTTTCTTTCTTTCTTTCTTTTCTTTTTGATAAAAAGTTTTTTCTTAAAAAAAAGATTTTTCGAAAAGAAAAAAAAGATGAGAAAATTCTAGAAAAAAAAAGGAAAAGTTTTGTATGCGAATCTCGTACGTGGAAAAAGAAATGGAAGAAGTGCACGTTAAAAATTTTCCGAATCCGTTTTTGAGTTTTCTTTTTTTTTTTTTTTTTTTTTTGATAAATTTATGTATAAGAAAACTCTTGCTAAGTTTTTATAATTTTTTTTTCCTTGTTTTATCTTCTTTAAATTTTTTGTTTTTCTTCTTTTTTCCCGTGTACACGCGCACTCACCCACACGCGCTAAAACCACGTTTTTTCCTTTTTTCCTTTCTTCCTTCGTTTCCTCTTACATTTTTTTTAACAAAAAAAAGGGAAAAACTTTAAAAATCTTAAATCAAATCATTTTTTTTTATATTCGTGGGAGGGA